TTACTTGTATGTGACTGATGGAAAATAAGAGAGGCTTTTAGCCTACGATACAATGTGCTGTCTCAGGGGCTTGGTAGGGCAATCGTGTAATAAATGAATGCTGGTAAGATGTCTCTATTCCCAGTATGATGCATTGCCCTTGTTCCATAGTATATAGGATCATAACTGTGTTCCATACATGATAAAGTGCACTTTCTTTCCTGGCATATAGAAAGATGTCTGTGTTCCTGGCATCACACAGTGCCCTTGTTCCTTGTCACATAGAAATATGTCTCTGTTCTAGCATCATAATGCCTTTATTTCCTGCTACTTAGTAATGTATCATTGCTGATTTGAATATTGGTAATTCTTATGTACCAGTCATCAGTGACTTCAAAACCATTGCATTCGAACATAAAATGACAAATATGGTTGTGTCTCCTAGGACACAGAGTATCTATTCTAAAAGAGGATTCTTTATGTGGCTTGGTTTATAGTTTTCTAAATTGTTTTGGTCATATATCGTCTGTTAATACACATTATGCATAGTGACATTTAAAACTGTTATTGTTATATGTATCAACCAATATGATCTAGTTTTAGAACAGACTGAATACTCTTCAGGTTCTCTTAAACAGACCACAGTCTGTATGCTCCAAATATTTTGAATATAAAGAAATGCCCATTAGCAGATACATGCTACAGAAAATGTAAATACACTATAAGGCAGGTAGTTCATTGCTCATGATAGAAATAGCTTTTCCGTTGCATGTGTTGTATCACCTAGATGATTGGCTTAATCAGGCATAATTAAAATATAAATTAACAGGAATATAATTTCATAACATATATTATGTGTTGTAGGTGGAACTAGACCTAACAGGTGGAGAGTTAGAAGGTCCTGACACTGAATGGTTTGATGAAGATTATGGTCTTAGTAATACCAGACGAGAGGCAGAAGAATTGCGGCTACAGCAGCTACAAATTGAACAAGAGGTTAGTTCTTAAATTTAGTCCTTGAGAAATACTGTAGGTATAATTTTATACAGCACACAGTAGAAATTCATAAGCTTGCACAAGCTGTAATTTTTTAATAACTGTACTTTCTTCCTCCAGATTCAAGAACTAGAACAAGCACAGGAACAAGTGCCGTATTTCTACATCCGAGAGATCCCGAACAAACCGCCTCCCCCCTACACACCACCAGGACAGACCACCAGAAGTTCTGTAGTTCCATGCAAGCTAGACCTGACAAGTGAAGAAGCCCATTTCATTCCATTTACAGCTGAAGGAATCACAGTCCTCACTGTGACAATGACCAGTTACTTATATAATTTGCAGGAAACTGTTGGCAATGTAGAAAATGCAGAATTGCCACCTGAGCTTTGTGAAGATAATAACAGTACTGATTTTAATGACATT